CCTCCAGGCCCAGTGTCATATAGGAAAAGTGAACAATTTCATCTCTGCCTCTGGACAAAAATCTTTCCGAAACTGAAGAAGTCAATGGCACTCCTCATCGTGCTTTACTCTTCGTTCATTTGGTGAATTCAGAGTTTCTCAAAAAAGCATCCATTCATATGAGATTTTTTCCCCATCTCTACAGTGTGAGTTAAATGGAACCCTAACATCTAAACAGTATGTAAATGCTATGTGTGTAACAGAGGAGAGTCAGCTTATTTTAAAATTAATTTAAGAAATAATAAAACATACTTGTATGGTTCCTTCTGCTAACGCTGAGATCACATTCACCTTAAGGACAAACCATCTGCTCTGCCACAAAGTGGAAACAAACTTTAGTTGGAACACACCCTTCACCTTTCGACCCAATATCGCAAAAGCTCTGGCCCCTAAACTAAAGCCAGCTGACTTCCTTTGTCACACCGCAGTACCATACACTTGACCACGTTCCGCAGCATAAAAGGCATTTTCAGGGCTCTGTAATGAAGAGAGTTGTGTAGAAAGCACATTTCCAGGTGTTTTACCACAGAATGTGGAGAAGCCACAGTGCATTCTTTATCGGGAGAGTGAGGCATCTACCCTGTGGTCTCTACTCACGCAAAACCACCGTACACAGCCCAAACTTGGCAAGACTTTCAGCAAGACATGCTTATGCTTTTGGCAGCAGGGAGCTGACCACTTTCAGCATCAGCATCCTTTGCCAGCTGGCCAAAGAGTACACAGATGCAAGGGAAGCAAATTATCTGCCCACTGGCAAAAAGAAATGCTGAGCAGCACCTAAGGAAAAAGGGTGTGTGCATGTGTGCATATGCGCAAGTGAGTAGGCATGTGAACATATATATATCTATATGCACCTGTGCTTTGGGAAAGGGAGTAATACAGTTAAACTGGAAAAATTGTCTGCTACTAACCCTGTGGTATCATTTTCTGCAACATTCTCACAACAACAGTCAGTCACTTTTTCCATTAAAATCTTCCAAGCTGAATTTTAAAGATTAAACAGAAGGACTGCAAGGATGCTAAAGAAAAATTTCCTAAGAAAGTCTGAAACCAGATGCCCTCAGGAAAGCATTCATACAATCACTTACAGGGTTTTAGCAACTTAAGGTAAGCATGTCATTGTATCTTCCCTCTTTATTTTTTGGGTCTCTTTAAAGAGTGAGTGCCTCTGGAAAAAACACTACACAACACTTGGTAAAATATAAAAAGCCTTCTGGGTTCAGAAGATACATGAGAAATGGCTCAGAAAAATTAACAGGACAAGAATTTGCAGCTGATAGGTTAGGTTTAGCTGAGAGAGAGAATCTGCCTGTAGATTAATTAGATTCTGCAATCACAGCCCCTTTTCACCCATACACATCCCACCACTATCATTACACGATCAACAGATTTTAATGAAAACTAATGCTTTCTTTTGAGAAATTCCATGGGGACTACACACAAGGTTGAGTTTACTTTCCTAAATATTTCTTGAAAATCGTACATAACGCAAGTGCACATTTGTTGGCTGTAAAGGTGTACAACAGCAATTTTTTGCAATGACAGTGCAGAGAGGGAATATGAGATCTGTGTGCTAATGAGCTGACACTGCAGAGGCTAGAGCAGTGTTAGTATAGTGCACTACAAGTGCAGAGCAGAAAGACATACGCGGGTTATTTCTAGGGAATATGATCTACAGAACTGTACGCATAATTCAACGTTAATACCAACATCCTTCATCAGAGGTTATAAGACAAGCATGAAAGACACTTTGGTGATGAATTTATACGTTTGAGTCATTATATTCATATTATTCTGAAAAAGCCAGCTCACTCCCTACATAAACATTTTTGAAGAAAATATAACATCCACGTTTTACTTGATTTTATTCATTCATAGGTCAAGTTAACTGTCTTCCTTTCTGTTTTTTCTGATGGCAAAAAGCTGCATATTTTAAAAGATGTAATAAATCCCCACAGATAAACTTCAATTCACCTTTAAATACACTGGAATTTTCATCTGTGTTTGCTTGCTCTCCGTTAAGATATCATACAGCTAAATAAATAGGTGGGCAGATAAATACAGAGTGGATGAATACTGTATGCATGCATGTAAATTAAACATACAGAGAAGGGCTCAGTGCTAGCAGTGAAGCAGGGAATACATGAACCAGATTATGCATCATTTAACTGAAAAAGGAATGAGAGGGAGGGGCTTAGGGCAGGAATTTTCTTTTGCTTCTAAAACAAGTTTGTTCCCATGTTGGGATATTGCCAAATCAGCCCTACCAGAGGTAGGCTTTTCATCTCTGGCTCATGAGAATATTTCAGAAGAGGGTTTTTTTTTTTTTATTCCTGACTCTGGAATGCACCAGATTGCACCAAGTGGGATGTGCAGCTATACACTAAGAACGTAAGCCTTTCCTGAGTGGAGCCCCCCTCAATTCCTGCACACATGAACGCTTCCTACAGCCACTATCACATAAATCAAAGCAAAGGAGAATGAAAAGTGTTATTTTATGGATAGTGACCAGGACAGGCACTAGGCTGATGCTACACATGCTACTTTCTCTGATTTCCCTTCAGTTCCTTCACCTATCCCACCACAAAGTCAGTCTCCCTCTCCAGTGAAGGCACTCAGAGTCACTGCAGGTTTCTCTCCTATGGATCCCTGCCAATTACAAATATTGATCAAACGGCTGTGTAACAGCACCGGAGACAATTTATGCTTATCTCCAGGAGAAGTAAAAATGTTGTGGAAAGAATTCCTTCATGGATATGGCAGCACCCTGAAATTAAGCTGCCTCCACTGGGAAGTGAGGATGTGTTTAAGGGTACTTAGGCCAGAATGCTTTACATGTTAGCCTGGTAGTATGAGGAGCTATTAGTTCATCCTAATGCAGTGATATGTATGAGCATTCTGACTTTCAAAGGTAATTGCTTCCAGATCCAAAAAGAGCAACTGTTCTTCTATATTTTTTTATTTTGAGCTACTGAGACCTATATGGCTAGTGACTTGGACTCACCGTATTCTTTTCCTACCAACAGTATTACCAGATAGTTGACATAGCTATGGACAAGGTCACCTTTTCATTTTCTTTCTTCTGTTTCTTTTTTCACATATTCTATTTTTAAATAGGTTACTCTAGGTTGGTATTCTCTGGTCCACATTTCCTCCAGAGATTTAAGTTTTCCCAGTTCTACTACACTGGTAATATGTGTGCGGGAATATGCAGCCCTATACTGCAGAAAACCATCTCATCTCACTAAAATCGCCACAGCTTTCACTAAGCAATGACAAAAATCATTAGTTGTCAGAAGATGATGTCAGCACACTGACTAAATAATACATTGACTGACTCTGAACCAGCCTGTGGTTCACTTGTCTTGGTGGGATCTGTAAAGAACTGCTGGTAGAACTTTTAAAAAACAATTAATAATTAATCACCCAAGCAGTTTAATGTATTTAGTTTAAATCCATATAATTGATATTTAGGAAACTATGTTTGAGATACAGCCTTTTGAAGGGATTACACTGATTAAGGATTAATAGTCTGATGTTTGTTGTAAGAGCTGTTGAGGCTGGATAGGATTAGTAAAATAAGATGCAAAGTACAGACACGCTTTTATTTACCATTTTTTCCACTTTACCAAATATTTTTATTGGGTATTATATAATTAAACTCCCTGCAAAAGTTTTAAAGGTCCTAATTCAAAGCCCTTTAGAAAGTGTAATGCTGCACTAGCAAGAAGCAGTCACATGGGGGATATGTTAGAATACCAATCCAAAATTTGCCCAAGTACTTCCCTATTGTGTATTTCCTAACCATCAACTTTCTCAAAATACCTGAAATCCTAGAAGAATAAAATATCTACTTGTCCAGCCTTCTGATTATACAGTGTGGGACAGGATTATAAGGACTATCCTATCCCCAGCAAACAAAAAATTGAAGAAATAAGATATTTAAAACACAAAATTGTTTTAAAACAAGAAATACTAGTTTTCTATATGCCAATACTTCATTATTTTAGTATAATGCTTCCTCTTTGAAGATATTATACTGTGAGTATATGAACAGGAATCCCATCCATAACAAAGTCAGTCCTTTGCATTCAGAGGTCCTTTAAATCATGTACAGACATATTTCTGTATACTGCAAAAAGCATGCAACCCTCCCGCAAGAAGACTCTGCTCATTTTCAAAGGTTTACAATAAAAACTGTATAAAACTGGATTTGGACATATCAGTGAATCATACAGGAACTAGTATTGGTAAGGATGCTTTTTTAAATGCAGAACACACACCAGTGTTTCAGAAAGAGATTTCGCATTTTAACACCACATTAACACTACTCAAAGTTCTATTTTACTGCTTCTGTTAATAAAGGCTCAAATTATATGTATGCACTGCTTGTGCAGAGCTATTTCTCATAATTCTCAGTGTTCTGATTGCCTTTTCTCTCCCCTCAGCTCTGATGCTGTTTTTCAGTTCACAGTCTCCTCAGGTTTTAACAGGACTTTCACTGTAAGAAAACAGCCCAGTATTTCAGGGCAGACAAGAGAAGTAAGCCCCTCAAGCTTTGTCCCCTCAAGGTCACTTGTAAACAGGTGTTTCTGTTTTATTCCTACATGGGATTATTTGCAAATCATGCTGTTTCACACAGCTAGGTTGTAGCCTCAACAGAAAAGGGATGTTACTTCAGCAGCAATTCACTGATCACAACTACACAGCACTGCTATAAAAACAACATGGTTGTTTTTCTGAAAAACAAAACTAAAAGGGTGAAAAGAAGTGATCAGAGAACTTTCCCTAAGGTATTATTCAAGCATATAATGCTGCAAATCTACTAAACCTCATGTCACTACACACATTTGTTGCACTATATTGTATGAACAAGAACTCTAGGCTACCAGGGAGAAATTGAATGGAAGGATAGATAGCAAATAAGTATTTTTTTTTTTAAAAAGCATGTATTTACTTACAAGCATTTGTCACAGAAAAACTGTTTGAAGAGTCCAAGTGATCTACATGATAGTTCAAATGGAAGGGCTTTTCCGTGGTATTTTGGTTTGTGTTGTATAACTGCACAGCAAATCGAAATGCACTGTGCTCCTGAACGGTGTTCCTCATGAAAAGTCCACCTATGATGGGGGGGAAAAAAAAAAAAAGGAGAAAAAAGGGAAAAGGTATTTCAGAATTAATTTTGAAGAGAAACAGTGGCAATAAGTTATATTTGCATACTGCACATCTCGGGAAAGAATGAACAGGAGCAGGCTGAGCCTGAGCACATAATTCTGATGGAGCGCGTCCATGAAATACATGCCCCGAGTCCAAAGTTGGGCTTCCAAAGCCACGGATCACATCCAGGTGCCTCTGAGCTACCGGGAGCCACTGGGAGCTGCAGGTGCACCTTGAAAAGCAGCCCACTTCTACACGGATGGCCACACGCAGATTTGAAAGCCAACTTGGGGAACTGCGGCTCCTAATTCTCTCGGAACTACCCGAATAACGCCTCTGTGGCGTTATTTGCTAAGGACACCGGCGGCGTGGCAAACGTGCCGTTTTCAAGGGTCTGGTGGAGAACACGCACAGCCGAGCGCCGCTCCACGGGGGCGGCAGGGAAAAAC